TGTGTTCTTCAAGTTGCAGCTGTATGCTTAGAGCCTGTAGCCGTGTGGGTTTGGGGCCCTCATCATCCCTCCTAAGCAGAGCCCGGGTGGATTCAAGTGATCCAGGCTGCCAGGCCATCGTGGGCGGAGCTCTAAGTGCAGCTCCAGGAACCAGGAGCCATCGTTTTCCTGGGGCTGGTGCCACCTGCAGATTCTCAGAACAAAGACTCCATCAAGCATTGACTGGGGTCTCAGCAGCCATGAGGTTGGCCAGCGTGATGTGACGTCCTGCCCAGCATGCTTGACTTGCCCAAGAAAGAGGGGCAGGTTTGCGAAACTGCTCCATCAGCTTTCTCCGCACCTCTCTAAGGCCTTTAATATTTAAGTCATTCTCTTGACCCACCTCCATTGTCATTTTTGCATCACATTAATTAATTTATTTATTTTTAATTTTTGGCCATGTTGGGTCTTCCTTTTTGAATGGGGGCTTTCTCTAGTTGCGGTGAGCGGGGGCTGCTCTTCATTGCGGTGCACGGGCTTCTCATCGTGGTGGCTTCTCTTGTTGTGGAGCACGGGCTCTAGGCGTGCAGGCTTCAGTAGTTGTGGCACGCGGGCTCAGTAGCTGTGGCTCGCGAGCTCTAGAGCGCAGACTCAGTAGTTGTGGCTCACGAGCTTAGTTGCTCCACAGCATGTGGGATCTTCCTGTACCAGGGCTCGAACCCGTGTCCCCTGCATTGGCAGGTGGATTCTTAACAAATGCACCACCAGGGGAGTCCCTCTGCATCATTTTAATTTCTTTTTATTTTTATTTTTTGCGGTACGCGGGCCTCTCCCGTTGCGGAGCACAGGCTCCGGACGCGCAGGCTCAGCGGCCATGGCTCACGGGCCCAGCCGCTCCGTGGCATGTGGGATCTTCCTGGACCGGGGCACGAACCCGCGTCCCCTGCATCGGCAGGCGGACTCTCAACCACTGCGCCACCAGGGAAGCCCATAGTATCATTATTGTTTGAATAATGCATTCCCTGATCCCCTTGAGGAAGGGCATCTTTTCATATACTTATCATACATTTGTCACATACCTTTTCATACATTTACTCATGTATTTCCATTTACTTTCTCTGCATTCCTCATGCTCTGTAAACCATTCCAGGGCACAGAATAACATGGTAACACAAATCTGATCACGAAACACAAAATCATGACAAAAGGATTCCCCAGAGAAAAACTACAGACCCACCTATGAATATATACGCAAGAACGCTAAAGAAAACAGAGGCATTTTGTGCATTAAATACGTTCCTGAAAATGTGTATATAGTCAAATTGTGCAAGCAGAGTGCTATTGTGGAGTGAAATCATCTGGAAATGGGTAAAGGACCTGGGAGGTAATTTGCTCCAGAAGACTCCCGTGGGCAGTATCCAAGAAGAGGCTGGCCTCGAGGTAACCAGACACGCACAACACAAAAAGCAGTATATGTGAGTAGAGACTCAGGTGCTGGTGAGTGGGTGATGCAAAAGTTCAGAATGGATCTCGCAATATTCACAGAAAGCTTGAATCCCCTTGCTTCCCAAATTCTATTTCTAAACACTTGTTTTAAGGAATAGAATAAGGACATGCACATCCGAGCATTATTTTTACACAGCAATAAGCAAAACAGACAAACCCCGCCTTTAGAAATTATAAAGACTGTGTAGTCATTTTGTTAAATGACGTTTTAAAAATTTAAAACGTCGTTTACAAAACTGTATGGGCCCATTTTTTTTCTTTTTTTGGTTTATCTATCAGCCATGTACTACCTAAGTACAAATTAAAGTTTGGAAGACTGTATGCCAAAACGTATGTTAGAATTACCTGAATGGTAAGAATGAAGGCTTTTTATTTGCTTATTTTATTTTGTTTCTACAATATACAGGTTATTTCTATTGATATAATAAAAGTTACTTATTATTGGCAAGACAATACGAAATAGAGGGAAACTGCTAATACGTTAAACGCCTGACAATACAGGATTGGCTGATGACGTTGCAATTCACTGTTATTATCGATAATTACCGTGAGTTAATTCAATAAGTACTTTTTGAGTGCCAACCGTGTGCGGGGCACTGCTTTAAACACTGGGAAGTTCTTTAGCTGCTCTGCGCTGTACATGTGACTAAGCCCTTAGTGAAAAAGATAAGGGACCGGAGTAAGAGAGAGAAGTAAAGACGGGTCCTGGGCTGGGCAGGTAGCAGGCGCTCCTGCTCAGCTGACAGGTCGCCTCCTGCCTTGGGTCCGCCCCCCCCCCACGCCCCGCCCCACTCCAGCCGCGGCCTCCGACTCGCGAGCGCCCCTAGCGGAGGGCCGAACACCTGGTGCAGGGTTTATTACCTTGTCCGCTAAGCCAGGCAACGCCAGCCAGGCACTGTCTGAACTGCACCCCAGTTTTCTTTCCAGAGTCCCCCGCCCTCCACGGAGCCAAGTCAGGACCCAGCCAGTGGCAGCCAGCTGTCCCCCAGGCCGATAAACGGGCAGAAAAGGCCGCGGGCACAGGCCGCGTCTGAGCGGGTGCCTGTCCAGCCTGTTTCCTGATCCGTAAAATCATTTCCAGCTGTGCATGACCTTCTACAGCGCCAGGACTTGAAAGCTAGAAAGCAGTTATCTTTTTAAAATCACAAGGAAGGAAACTATGAACTAAGAAAGTCCCTCATCCAAACCCATCAACAGAAAATCACTGTTATATTGGTACCAGTTTTGGAAAAAAAATTTTTTTAATTGAAAATTGGGGATTGAGAAGAAAGAACGGTGACGGAAAGGAATGTTCCCATCGGCAACCTTGGGTTTGGGTTGGGGGCTGGGGCCTATTAGGAGGTGCAGGCTGAACAAGGCAGCGGGAGGCCCGGGGGCGTGTCTGTGGCGCCCTGCTTGGCCCCTTCCTCCTGGGACAGGGGACTGAGCCCTACTCCTGGGCTACACAAACATTCCTCCCTCAGACACGCCACCTTATGTCCCCAAAGTTTAAGCACAGCTTGCTCTGGTTGGGGGTCAAGCTGTCATCCTTCCTCGGAGCACAGGAGGCTGAGAGGCAGGAAGACTTATTAACACCACCCTCCTTTCCATAAGCTCTGGGGAGAGGCGCGGTGGAAGGACCAAAAGGCCTCCCAGTTTCTTCCCCCAGGCAAGACGTGGAGGCTTCCTCCAACCTGGTGGGCCGCGGGGAACCAGAGCACCTCGTGGGGCTGCAGGGGATGGATGGGGCCTCCCCAAGTGGGTCTCCGTCCCACGGTTTCCCGAAGGATCAGTCGTGAGGCTGCTGTGTGGGGACAGAGGAGGGCCAGGAGGGCTTGGGGAGGAAGGAGCACGAGTCCTGCAGAGGGGGGCCCACTTGTACTCGTGCCACCTGGAGTTGCAAACACCCAGTTGTGACCCACCTCTCCCTGTCGCCCTCTTGGAACCCTCAGTTCCTGACTGTTCTCCACTCTCCTGAACCAAGGGAGGTGGCACAGGTGAGAGAACCAGGGGTCTGGGGGCCAGAGGGCTCCGGCTTCAAATCTTGGCTCCAGCACCCACGGTCAGCGATAGCTGGGCCTGTGTTGTCACCTTTCTGTGCCTCAGTCTCCTTATCTGCAAAATGGGCCTAACTTCCCAGTCTGATGGAGGCTAGGAGAGCAGAGATAAGTCGAGAGCATCCTTCATTCACCGCGGTGCTTCTCCCCGGCCTGGCCTGCTGTAGGTGGCTGGCTGGCATCTCTCACCCTCACCCTCGGGAAGCAGGCCCAGGCTGCCCTCACCCGCCCTCCTTCCCCACAGCTCACAGCAGGCTGATTCTGCAGGCATCTCTTTAACATTCTCTAACAGTCTTCCTCTTTTCCCTGCTCTCCTGATGGTTGACCTGGTTAATTCAAGAAAAACATCTGTACTTTTTCTTCCTCTCTCCTTAGCCCTTCATTTCTTTGTTCCATTTCTGGGCCCAAAAAAGAAAAAAAAGAAAAGGAAGAAAAATTATTGTGCAGAGACACCGGCACCAGGCAAGAGGAGAACTGTCCATTTTTCAAAAAATGAGACAAGATGAAAAGTCTATGTTGCCAGACTGCCAATGCCCTCGAATGCACCGTCTCTGGGAACCTCTTAGGAATCACCACCGAGATCTTCCCCTGCCCCTGCAGCCTTGCTCCCTCCCAGAAAGAATGTGTAATGCATCTTAAAGCAGGTTTTTTATTTGATCTTGTGATATTTCTGTAGCAATCACCTTGCTACAATGCTGTTTTCTGCTAATTTTCATGGTGAATTATAGCCCTTTAGTTCCGTTGCAGCTTAAATTGGCTGGTGCAGGCCAAATGGAAAAGCTGACCGTCACCTGAGTGGCAGTTCCACAGCTGGGGAAGGTGGGCCCTTGTTAGGGCTGAGTTGTGTCCCCCTCACCCCCAGTTCATGTGTTGAAGTCCTAACTCCCAGTTTTTCAGAATGTGACTATATTTGGAGATAGGGTCTTTATTTATTCATTTATTCATTTCGTTGTGCCAGGTCTCAGTTGTGGCAGGCGGGCTCCTTAGTTGTGGCATGTGGGATCTAGTTCCCTGACCAGGGATCGAACCCGGGCCCCCTGCATTGGGAGCGCAGAGTCTTAACTACTGTGCCACCAGGGAAGTCCCGGAGATAGGACCTTTTTCTTTTTTTTTTTTTTAGATAAATTTATTTATTTATTTTTGGCTGCATTGGGTCTTCCTTGCTGCGTGCGGGCTTTCTCTAGTTGCGGCAAGCGGGAGCTACTCTTCATTGCGGTGCATGGGCTTCTCATTGCGGTGGCTTCTCTTGTTGCGGAGCACGGGCTCTAGGCGTGTGGGCTTCAGCAGTTGCGGCACACGGTCTCAGTAGTTGTGGCACGCGGGCTCTAGAGCGCAGGCTCAGTAGTTGTGGCACGTGGGCTTAGTTTCTCCACGGCATGTGGGATCTCCCCAGACCAGGGCTTGAACCTGTGACCCCTGCACTGGCAGGCGGATTCTTAACCACTGCGCCACCAGGGAAGTCCCCGGAGATGAGGTCTTTAAAGAGGTAGTAAGGTGAAAAGAGGTCACTGGGGTAGGCCCTAATCCCATATCCCATATGACTGGTGTCCTCACAAGAAGAGGAGATTAGGACACAGAGATGCACAGAGGGATGACCATGTGAAGATACAGGGCAAGATGGCCGTCTACAAGGCAAGGAGGGAGGCCTCACAAGAAACCAACCCCGATGACACCTTGATCTTGGATTTCCAGTCTCCAGAACTGTGAGAAAATAAATTTCTGTTGTTTAAGCGGCCCCACCTGTGGTACTTTGCTACAGCAGCCCGAGCTGACTAACAGCTCTGCCTGCACCGAATGGGATGGACCCCAGGAGTGGGAGAGAATCCCCAAATGTCGCCACTTGAATTATCATGATTCTTGTCCCTTTACACACCTCCCGCCCTCTGCGCAGTGGGGCTGGGACCACACTGAGAGACAGAAATGGATACCCAGGCACGTGCATTCTGCAGCCATCAGGCCTCAGATCCTTCGTGAAAGTGCATCACCACGGCCAAGTGAAAGAGGGTTTATGCTGTGCTGGGCACAGTGCCAGGGGCTTTCTACAGCGACGCCCCAAAGCACCTATGGCCACCCCTTTACAGATGAGGAAACAGGCCCGTTTTTACTGTGCAGAGCTGGGATTCAATTCGATCACAGGCAGTTCGGTGCCGTCGCCTCTGTGCTACCCGTTTTTTCTTTCTTAATGTGGACTGTTTCTCGTAAGGAGAAGGTGCTAGGGTGAGAGGCTGAGTAGGCTCCTGGTGTGACCTTGGGCAGCCTGGGCAGGTGCTGGGGTGGAGGTGCCATCATGATGATGGGCTGCACTGACTTGCAGGCACCCCTGCCTGTCTCCGCCCCCACTCAGAAAACAGTCAGGGAGCGACCTGCCCGGCCTCCCGTGAGCGTGTCTGTTGGGAAGACGGCCCATTGGAGGGAAGGAACTCCTCGGTAGCCATCCACCCAGGGATTGTGGCTGGGGGGGCGTTAGCCTGGAGGGATGCTTTTGAGGGCCATACGCAAACTATTCTTGAAGCTGCCATCAGTCTGGTGTCCTCTCTCCCTGTAGCACATTTATGAAACCGAGTAAAGATGGGCAACCTCACGGCCCATCTCACCATGTTCCCATGGAGAAGAAATCAAAGTCAGATCCAAGTTCAACTCCAAAAATAGCCTTGAGAAATACTGCAGATCTTTCCTAAATTTGTTTTACAAGGAACCAAAGGGCAGTTACGCTCATAAAAGAGAGAAAAGTTGTCTTAAAACCTCTTTCCTCTCACTCTCTCAAAGCTCCCAGCCTACTGCTTGCTCTCCACACCCCACCTCCACCCCTACCCCACAGACATAAGGATCCCCTGGCCAGGAGCCTGCTCTTTGGTGTTTAAACACAGTCCCTGGGATGGGGCTGATGACGGATGACAGGCCATCTTTTCCAAGCACATAAACTCATCAGAGGGATGAAGAAGCTGCTCAAAACCACACAGGTAGACAGGGGTCCAGCCAGATCCCAGCGAGCTTGAGTCTAGCCCTGGGACCCCTGACCACGGCTCTAAATGGCCTTCCATCCCAGCAACTACAAAACGGCAGCTAGATCCAAACTGTAGCGCGTCGTTACCATTTCTGTGAGTCATGTTATACCGTCTTTTCCTGGTTAGATACGGCCTGGGGACGCACACTCTCTCACACACACAATCATACACGTACCCCAAATGGAGATCATCTCGTTTCCTTGTTTTGTAATCTGCCCTTTCCAATTAACTCTATACTGTGAGAAAAATTTCCCATGTACTTAAGTTTTAAAGTTTTTCACCATCATCTGGATTTAATCTACCTCAACAGCCATCTAGTGCGAGCGCTCAAGACGTTTCCACTCACTCTCATATAAATAACCCTGGGGGCAGGTCGCTCCGCACAAGTCCTTTAGCACGCCTCTAATTATGACCTCGGAATACATTCCTAGGGAGGAAATTACTGGGAACAAACATTTCAAGACTTTGGGTACATATATCTAATCTGTCCTCCACGAAGACTGTACTGATCTTCATATTTGATGCACAAGAGGGAATTTCACCTCCAGGAGACTCAGGGTTTTTCTCCGGAGGGAATCCACGTGTCCAGCCTGAGGCTCACTCTGCATTCTGCTGGATCTTAGTTCTCTTGGCCCCAGGCTGTTGCACCCTCCCAAGCTGCCATCTCCACCAGGGATGTCCTTTCTGTGAAGATGATCTCAGTTCAGAGCTGCTTCTTGGCTTGCAGGAAGCCCTGTCTCCAGAGCAACTGTATCCCTGGGAGCTCATTAATGTAAGCAATTTGGGAACAATACATACCTGGCCAAGTCCACTTCCCAAATCCTTTCCCTTTGTTTTTTTGGGTTCTTTGACTTCCAACCAATTATTTTCTGGGGATTTCCATGACAAAGCTCTGGAGAAGAGGCCATTTACCTAGCTTGGGACACAAAGAAAGCTAGTTCATCTTATTTTTCAAATTAAAACTGTCCTCAGCTTCCCTGGCCAGCTTAGCGGAAATCTCTGTTGGCCTGTCAGGGAAGCCAAAGAAGGTTAGCTGCTTCCATGCAGCCCTCCAGGGGCCCACCTGCTCGGTGGGGCGCTCCTGGTGGGAAAACAGGAGGGTGATCGTTTGTGATGGTGTGTAATCCACCACTGTCCCTCTTTGACTTTACAGGCAGCCCCAGGGAAAGACTCATGAGAAGAGTGCAGAACACAGGTGGGCAGAGGGAGAGCAGTGCCCGGCGTGGTGATGTCACTTGTGCACATCACCCCTTGCCTCCCCGGCTCACCCTGGGCCTGAGCAGTGCCCCTCGGTGGGGAGGGCCCACAGCTCCCGCTTTCTTCCCTGACCCCACCCCACGGTGGACCCCTGAGCAGGGGGGCCCTGAGGAGCCCCACAGCTCCTGCCTGAGGTGGCCCTGGGGAGTCTGGCATCACCCCACGTGACCCTGGCAGGTGCTCGTTCTGCAACAGCAGCTGCCAAGGTTGGACACCTCATGCGGCTCTTGCCCCCTGCCCGCACCTCTTCAGAGGATGGGCGACTCACACAGCAATTCCAGGAACACTTCTCAAGGCATCTTAGAAACTCGTTTCCTGGAAAAGTCAACCACCTACTCAGTGACCCTCCAGGAGATAACGTGGGAGGGGCCCTCACAGCCCGGGGTGTGGGACGGAAGTGGTTGAGGGTGGCTTCTGCCCAGAGGACTAGGGCTGGGGGCCAGGACAGAGCTGCCAGAGGCCTCTGCTTACCTCACCCATGTGTGCGCACACCCAGACATATGCACATGCACACACACACATGCAAAGACACACACCCATACACACATGCACACACGCATGCACGTGCACACACACACACACGCACGGAGTGGTCCCTGGCTCTCAAAGGCAAACCTGAAGCAGCTGTTAGACTGTCTGTCTGTGGGAACAATGGCCTGCACCCTAGCCTTGGGGACAAGGCATTTTTCTCAGGAGTTCCTGGGACACCCGGTCTCGTTCTATCACCTGATTGGCTGGGCTTTGGAAACAGCCTCTGCAGCAGGTTATTAGATGTTGTCCCCTCTCACGGCCCAGACAAACGGGAGGGCCGAGGTGGCACCAGCTCTTGAGTGTGCTGGATTGAACAGTGTCCCCCCCCAAATTCATGCTCACGTGGAACCTCAGCATGTGACCTTCCTTGGAAATAGGGTCTTTGCAGATGTAATTAGTTAAGTTAAAAAGAGGTCATGCTGGATTAGGGTGGGCGCGATCCAATGTGACTGGTGACCTTATAAGAAGGGACGACACGAAGACACACAGACAGAAGGCAGCAAGGACTGGTGGGATGCAGCTCGGAGCCGGGGAACACCGAGGAATGCCGACATGAGCAGAGGCTGGAAGAGGCGGGAGGGACCCTCCCCTGGAGCCCTGAGGGAGAGCGTGGCCCTGACAGGACCTCGATCTCGGGACGTCTAGCCTCCAGAAAACTGTGAGGGAAAACACATTCTGTCATTTTTAAGCCACCTGGCTTGCGATAATTTGTTAAAGGCAGGCCTAGGAAACTACAATTGTCCCTTGGTATCCTCAGGGGATGGGGTCCAGGACCCCCATACATACCAAAATCTGCAGAGGCTCAAGCCCCTTGCAACTGGCCCTCTATCTGAGGATGCAGAAGGGCTGAGTGTAGTAAGAAAGTCATTTGTGTTTGTTTATATGTTTATTTATAATACAATCTCAAACTAATAATACAAAAATTCTGCTTTGGCTTATTAATTCTCATTAAGCACCTTATTCACTGGTGTTGGGTTCTTTGCCCTCAGCCCTGTGATGTGCAGACGCTTGACTGCAAACCCAGAATGGACGGAAAGCCCCCCGCGAGCAGAACCTGGCCTCCATGCCAGCCAAGACTGGTGACCTGACGAGGAAGAGGGAAACCTGAATGCTCTCTGGGTCCTCCTAAACCTTTACAGCAGAACTATTTCACTTGAAGGAAAGTTCCAGATCAGGTGCACATATACTCAAATGTACTTGCAAACACACATTCCAAAGTCCAACCTAAATGTTAAAAAATTATCCACAATAGCCAAGCTGTGCAAACAACCTATATGTCCATCAAGAGATGAAGGGATAAACAAAGTGTGGTCTATCCATACAGCGGAATATTACTCGGCCTTAAAAAGGAGGGAAATCTTGTCATATGTGACAACATGGATGAACCTTGAAGACATTATGCTAAATGAGATAAGCCGGTCAAAGAAAGACAAATACTGCAGAACTCTATTTACAAGAGGTACCGAAAATAGTCAAGTTCATAGAATCAAAGAGTGGGATGGTGGTTGCCACGGGCTGGGGGGAGACAGAAATGGGGAGCTGCTAATCAAGGGGCACAGAATTTCAGTGAAGCAACATCAATCAGTTCTGGAGACCTGGTGCACGGCATCGTGCCGACAGTGAACAAGACGCCACTGAACGCCTGAAACCGTGCTGAGAAGGTAGAGACCGCACGCCATGTGTGCATACAACAACGCAACATCTAGCGAAACTCCATCTAGCAAAAAAGATTCTGTCTCACACAGGTGGCCAACGGGCACATGAAAAGAGGCTCAACGTCGCTAATCATTAGAGAAATGCAAATCAAAACTACCTTGAGGTATCACCTCACACCTGTCAGAATGGCCATCATCAAAAAATCTACAGACAACGAATGCTGGAGAGGGTGTGGAGAAAAGGGAACCCTCCTGCACTGTTAGTGGGAATGTAAATTGATACAGCCACTATGGAGAACAGTATGGAGGTTCCTTAAAAAACTACAAATAGAACTACCAGATGACCCAGCAATCCCACTACTGGGCATATACCCTGAGAAAACCATAATTCAAAAAGAGTCATGTACCACAATGTTCACTGCAGCTCTATTTACAATAGCCCAGAGATGGAAACAACCTAAGCGTCCATCATCGGATGAATGGATAAAGAAGATGTGGTACACATATACAATGGAATATTACTCAGCCACAAGAAAGAATGAAATAATACCATTTGCAGCAACATGGAGGGACCTAGATATTAGCATACTAAGTGAAATAAGTCATATAGACAAAGACAAATATCATATGGTATCACTTACATGTGGAATCTAAAAAAAATGATACAAATGAACTTATTTGCAAGACAGAAACAGACTCACAGACATGGAAAACAAACTTATGGTTACCAAAGGGGAAGGGGGGGGTATAAATTAGGAGTCTGGGATTAGCAGATACAAACTACTATATATAAAATAGGTAAACAACAAGGTCTTACCGTAGAGCACCGAGAACTATATTCAATATCTTGTAATAACCTATAATGGAAAACAAAGTGAAAAAGAATATATATACATATTTATAACTGAATCACTTTGCTATACACCAGAAACACAACATTGTAAATCAACTATACTTCAATTAAAAAAAAAAATTTGTCTCTAAAGACAAGACTCAATTTTTGTGTACTTTAAAACATATTTAATAAACCTGAAAATACTTAAAAATGATCAATCACTGTTCTCTTCCGTTAGCTTGGATAATTTTAAAACAACGATATTGTTTAACGTTAGTGACACTGGCTGTAAAACGTTTTAATACTAACAGCTACCATTCAGCGCGCAGCGTGTGCCTGCGCTCTGCGCTTTGCGGGGGTGGTTCCTGAGGAGGAGCCTGGCAGGCCCTCCATCACCGGGAGTGGGGCTGCCCCACGGCCCCTGCCAGCACAGCTACCCATCGGGCCTTTATCTGCAGGCCACACTCCACGAGGCCCTTCGCGAGAGCGCGGAGCGGGCGGGTCACGGCAGGCCTGCTAGCCGGGGCTCCGGGCTGCGGGCTTTGGCGCAGGGACCCCCATGGCTTCGCCGACCCTCCTGAGACCCTCCTGGCATCTAGAACCTTCCCCAGCTCATAGGTGCCGTGCCAACAACCGCCTCACCAGAATCCCATGCGGGCGGAAACCTGGGGCTACATTTTACTTAATTAACGCATCCCCCTTCGAGGGAGACCCCATTACCCTCCCCACTTTATGGACGAGGAGGTGCGGGCACAGAGCCATGGGTGGGGGGACAGTAGGAAGGCTGTCGCGTGGCTGAGCTTGGCCTTTTCTGTCGGGTTTAACACCATTAGTCTTCGTAGGCTATGATGGCAGGAAATACACTTCCAAAGGTTTGAAAACAGGTACCCAAATCGTTTTTCCGGAACACGCGACATTCTGACTTCATGAAATTAGGGGACAGCTTTCAGAGCAGACCTTTTCAGACGAGAGCGCTCGGAAAACACATTCTTCCGATAAAACCGTCCTCTGCCTCGTAGGGACCAGCTCCCCTCCGTCCGTTTTCTTTCAAGTGAAAACGGTCATACGGGGCTACATATTGAAATGTGAGAAACAAGTGGCCTGCTGTCCCGCAGAAGGTTACTTTCCTTGGTCAAAACTGGAAAATCTCATTAACCTGCCGTCGGTGGTGCAGAAGTGAGTGGCCACTTAGGAAGACCTGAGGCAGGAGACGCCTTTCCACCAAGGGCGACCCCGACCCCACCCCACGCACCTCCAGCCAGTGGGGAGGGACGGCCCGGTCCCTGAAGACGCCACAGTCGGAAAACTGACTCTGGAAGGACCCCTTGCTCAGCGCTGGGCCTTGGGCCGTGCGGCCTGCGGGCGAGGGCCTGCGGCGTTCGGGGGTCAGGGGTCGGGCGCGCCCCGCGGTGCCGAAGGGGCGGAGTCCCCGCGAATCACCGCGAGCGGCCGGACTTGCAGGAGGGAAGCAGGGGCCGCGGCTCCGAAGCGCCGCCTCCGGCAAATGCACGTGTCACAAGTCACGGGGTGATTCCCCCGAGCCCGGCGGTGCCGTCCTTCCGCGTGCGCACCGCCGCCCTGCTGTCACGGGACGAGGCTCGTCGGGACCCGCCCCGCCCCCGGTCCCGCCCCGACCGCGGCACCCGCTGCCGGCCCCGCCTGCTCCCGGCCGCCCCTCTGCCGGCCCCTTTCCGGGAGGAGGATCTACGTCCCCTGAGGCGTCCGCGTCCTCGGGGGCAGCTGCTCTGGCGCCGAGTCCGCGCCGTGGGGAGGCCGAGGAGCCGGGCCAGCCCGCCCCGGGCTCCGGAGTACGGACGCGGGACGCCCCGAGGGATGGCCCGTCGTCGCTGCAGGGGGCTGCCCAGGGGGACGGTCGGGGCTCTCGGGCCGGCGAGGCCCAGCCCCGGGCCCGTCGCCACTGGGGCGCCTTTGCGGGGGTCCGGCCCGTTCAGCCCCAGCGCGGGTTCAGCTAATGTTGAAGAGCTCGGGGGCCGTGGCCTTGGCCCCATGTCTGGGTGGCTGTCCCGCTGGGAGGAGGGGAGGCCGACGCGGAGGGCAGTGGGCCTGAGAAGGGGCAGGTTCTGGGCCGGTGGCGCTGCAGCCAGTTGGGGGCTGTAGGGACCTCAGAGGGGGTTTCTGAGCTCAGGAGCCATCTGGGAGGGATGGTGCAGGGAGCTCCCTTTGGAGATCCAGAACCTTCTGGAAACTGGAGCTTGGGAAGCATTGTGAATGGGGCGCAGCAGCAGCCTGGATGGGTGCAGAGGAAATAGCCGCTGAAACCCTGGGGGACAGAATGGAGGTGGGTGCCTGGACCGGGGGCTGGCGAGGCATTTTTGGGGAGGGGCCTCAGTAAAAACTGAGCAGACCTGGCCTCCTCCTGTCTGCCAGTCGCAGCCCATTGAGCCAGTAGTTCTAGACAGAGTGGCGGGGAAGGGGCCGGGGCCTCAGAATCCCGGGGAGCAGCTTCAGCGCACGCACAGCGCTCAGCCCCCATGGGGCCTCCCCATCATCGTCCCCCACATAGGTACCTGTGAGGGCGCCTCCTGTCAGAGAAAGACAAAATCCAAAGGGGCTAGAGTTTCTCCCATCCTTCTACTCCCGAGGGTCCACATCCAGAAAGAATGACGCTTCCCAAATTCAAGGACATCCTTTAATCACAAACTACTTATCCATGATCAAGCCAGGGGGTGGTTCATAAACACCTTGGGAGACAGCTCAGAACCCTCCCCAGAAACACTAACAGCTATGCTCTGCTCCCTCCCAGCACCTGGGCTGCCCTTCCTAGGGTGGCTTCTAGGTCAATGCCTGTGCCGTGACCACGCCAGAATCCTGCTGTGAGCTCTTCTTGGGTAGAAGAAGAGGGGACCGGGGGTCTGCTCTGCCACTGAAGTCCCAGAAGCCTTGGCCAGGCTAGGCCCCCACGCCCACACTCTGGCCTGCCCGGCAGCCTCCATGAGCGACAGCCGTCCCCCTCCCCTGCTGGGTGCGGGAGCCCCCAGCCTACACGATGCCCTCCAGGCGCCTGCTCCTCCAGACCACCAGTGCCGTCACGAGCAGGGTCACCAGGATGGGCACCACGATGAAGGGGCAGAGGACACTGCTGGGCGGGTCCTGCAAGGCCCTGCCTGAGACGGGGCAGTCTCTGAAGTAGTGCTGGTGGACGGAGAGGAAGAACCTGTCCACCGCCGCGTTGGGCCAGAAGCAGTCCAGCTTCTGCGCCACGTGCCTGGTGCAGTCCGAGAGCTCTTCGTAGCTCCTGCAGATGGAGAAGCAGGTCGTCAGTCCCTGGTGGGCAGGGGATCAAGGTGGGACTCCAGCCAGGGGCTCCCCACCTCACTCCCCACTGGGGCAAGCTCCCCCAAAGTCCAAGCCCTGAGGCGGTGGCCCTGGCTTGAGAGACACAGGTCCTGCGTGGGTCCTGTGCGGGCTCCCTAGATGTCCTGCATGTGCTCACACCCCAGAAGGCAAGCTGGGGCTAAGGGATTCCAGGAGCTGGGATGCCACACCAAGGGCAAACGAGAAGATGGACCAACCAGGCGTCTTCAGAAGGCAGCCTGGGACGGCGAGCCCTCAGGCGTGGGCAGATGTGCAGCCTCTTGAGCCCCTTGCTGTCTGCATCACCCCGAGCAGACGCCCCCCAGCCTGAAAGCCCCCCAGGTGTCCACAGGACTCACTGTGAGGCCTCCCAGGCCTACCCTGACCTCCCACCCCCCCCATCTTCCCACGCTTGCTGAGGAGTTTCCCACAGCACTGTCACCCTTCACTGTAGCGGGTTACAGATTTATTTTGCTTATTCAGTGTAAACCCCATGAGGTCAGGGATTTTGTCTATTTTGTTCACCTCTGTAATCCCAGTACCTAGAAGAGTACCTGGCACATGGCAAGAACCAGTAAATTTTTTATAAAAAAATTGTGGTAAAATATAAAGAACATAAAATTTACCATTTCAACCATTTTTACCTGTACAGTCCAGTGGCATTAAGTACTATTCCATTGTCGTGCAACCATCACCACCATCCATCTCCAGAACTATCTCATTCCCAAACAGAAACTCTGTCCCCATTGAACACTCACCCCCATTTCTCCCTCCAGTCCCTGGTAATTCCCATCTGCCTTCTGTCTCTATGAAATCTGACTACTCCAGGCACCTCATATAAGTTGGCTCTACAATATTTGTCCTTTTGTGATTGGCTTATTTCACTGAACATAATGTTCTCCAGGTTCATCCATGTTGTAGCCTGGGTCAGAATTTCCTTCCTTTTTAAGGCTGAATAATATTCCATTGCTCGTACATACTTTATTTTGTTTATCCATTCATTGACGGACATTCAGGTTGCTTCCATGTTTTAGCTATTGTGACAAATGCTGCTGCTATGAACATGGGTGTGCAATTATTTACTCGAGTCTCGGCTTTCAATTTTTTTGGCTGTATATCCAGAAGTGGAATTGCTGGATTATATCATAAGTCTGTGTTTAATTTTTTGAGTAAATTGTTTTTTTATTTAATTTTATTTATTTTTTAAAAACTTATTTATTTATTTTTGGCTGCATTGGGTCTTCATTGCTGCGTGCGGGCTTTCTCTAGTTGCGGCGAGTGGGGGCTACTCTTTGTTGTGGTGCGCGGGCATCTCATTGCAGTGGCTTCTCTTGTTGCAAAGCACAGGCTGTAGGCGCACGGGCTTCAGTAGTTGTGGCATGTGGGCTCAGCAGTTGTGGCTTGCGGGCTCTAGGTGCGCACGGGCTTCAGTAGTTGTGGCACGTGGTCTCAGTATTCGTGGTGCACGGGCTTAGTGCTCCACAGCAATGTGGGACCTTTCCAGACGAGGGCTCAAATCCGTGTCCCCGGCATTGACAGGCAGATTCTTAACCACTGCACCACCAAGGAAGCCCCTGTTTTTTAAGAAATGAAGATTCAGTGTTGGGGAAAATTAAAATGTATTCAGTAGTTTCCAGAAAGTGTCACTTCTGCTCAGGATGGAGAAAGCAACACAGAGTGTTGATCCCATATGAACAGCAAAAAAAGCTGAAGAAACTACAAAATCATACATTTTCTTGAGTCCATCAGAGAGCTGAGACTGCAAGGCAGCAAAGTAACCTGAGTTTCAAGGAGGAGAAAGACGCAGCTGCTGTACCAGCTACATAATAGCTGAACTGCCCGGGGTTTAGCATGGGCTGGAGGGTCAATCTGGAATTTCTGGGGCCCCAGATGCCCTGAGCGGGGTTCCATGACCATCTGATCTTTCCCATGAGGCTCCAGGGGGTGCTCGTGAGAAAGGTTAGGGGCAGGCAGGGGATCGGCTGCTGTTTGGGGCCAGGCACAAACACCACACATTTCCCAAACCCTTCTCACAGAAGCAGCAACAGGCTTGGGCCCCTGGGGGATGAGCAGCTGATCTTGATGATCAGTGGCTTCAGCTGAACAGGCCTGAAGCCCTTCCTACTTCCCCAGACCCTTCTCTCCAGGAAGCAAAGCCTTGAGTTGAGGGAGGGACAGCACAGCCTGTTAGCTCCAGGGCACAAGAAGGCACACTGTGCCTAGGAGAAGGACGGGTAAAAGACTCTTTTCCCTTGGAAGAGCAGCAGGAAGCCATCCTGGACCTAGGAGCCTGCAAGATACCAAACTGAGGTCTCTTTCCACTGGGGGAGTGGCAGGAATCTCCCACCAAGACCCCACAGATACAGGGCAGAGTCTGGCTGCCACAGGGAGGAGAAACAGGAATCCTGAGGTTGAGGGCATGGTGGCTTTCTAAGCTGAAGCTGGACCAGGAGAGAGGGAACCCCTCCCTCTCTCCCAGTACAAACCTGGTATAAACAAGCAACAGGGCTTCCCTGGTGGCGCAGTGGTTGAGAGTCCGCCTGCCAATGCAGGGGACACGGGTTCGTGCCCCGGTCCGGGAGGATCCCACATGCCGCGGAGTGGCTGGGCCTGTGAGCCATGGCCACTGAGCCTGCGCGTCCGGAGCCTGTGCTCCGCAGCGGGAGAGGCCACAACAGTGAGAGGCCCGAGAGGCCCGCGTACCGCAAAACAAACAAACAAAAAAACAAAACAAAAAAAACAAAAAGACAAGCAACAGCAATCTGCCACAGGGAGGTGGAGAGAGACCCACTCTGTGGCACAGGCATGCAGGGTGGGACACACCACATGAAGGAAAATTCTCTAGCCCCACCCTGAGCACAAGGCAGTGGTAACCCATTGCCAGAGGTATTTGAGGCCTGTGGTGCTCTGAAGGAAACCACAGCAACAACAAATCCCAAACCCAGCTCAACTCCTCACAAGATTGACTTAAATCCCACACTAACAGCCTGACACAAGAGGCTTACTCATTTCCAGATGTAAATACTATTTATCTGAATCTCTTCTGTTCTACACATGCAAGTTCAACATTCAATAAAACATTAGGGGCTTCCCTGGTGATGCAGTGGTTAAGAATCCGCCTGCCGGTGCAGGGGACACGGGTTCAAGCCCTAGTCTGGGAAGATCCCACATGCCATGGAGCAACTGGGCCCACGCACTACAGCTACTGAGCCTGCACTCTGGAGCCTG